GACATGCAGAGTTGCAAACAGTGCAAAGCAGGCACAAGACTAAAGAAACAGAGGGAAAAAAATGAAAAAAGTATGATTAACTTTGAAGTTTGAAGTTCATAACTTGAACTTTGAAGTTCAATTCAGAACTTCACAGTCCTCAGATTGGCAGCACTGTCAGTGGTCTCTCTCTCTCTCTCTCTCTCTCTCTCTCTCTCTCTCTCTCTCTCTTGTCAGTGGGATGTCTTGCGCAGTTTAGGTAGGGGTTCTGATTCGGAGTCACCCTCTACCTCCGACGAACTGCCATCTTTTTCGGCGATGGCTGCAGGCGATGATGGCAGGCGGGACTTGAGGCAGCAAGGAGGGCGCTTCGGCAATGGGCAGCAGTGGTGGGCGGCACTTTGACGCGCCCTCTTTGAAATTGTGCAGGCCTCTTTGAAACCCACCACCTCAAAAACCTGGAGTACATGACTTGTGTCCGGGCCTCTAGGCCCTGTCCGGCGGGGTGAAACAACACCGAAAATTCACCCGGTTATTTTTCCGGGGGCGGCCACCCCTTTTTCTATTTTGATTTTCGCCCTGGGGGACTCCCTCCGGACGTCACGTACCGGACACCAGACCCCTACATGTTGTTTCGGACTGTCTGGAACCCAGTCCGGACGTCCGACCACCAGGACCGCCCAGCCAAGGACTATCTTCTTCACTTTTGTGAATGGACTGTCATTGATGGGTTGATTTTGCTGCGCCCCATGTGTGAATTTAGTGACCCCTTTCCCCCACACCCTCTCTCTCTGGTGGACCTCCAATGGTTTGGAAGATAGAACATCCGGGGGCCATGGGGATTGAAGGGCCCCTCAGGGGAGTGGTCCAAGCTTGTGTTTTTTGTTCTTAATTGGTTCTCAGCTGAAACCGGGTAAAGGCCCCGGTACTATAAGAGCTTTGTACATTTTAATTTTAATATGGGACGCTGGGCCCAGTTCCCAGCTTGTGCCGCTCCCCACGAATAGATCGGAGGATGTCTTTGTGGGAGAAAAAAAAAAAACACCATCATTGACCCACACAACGCTTCCCTCCACCCATGTTTGTGCGGGCTTCTGGCCGAATAGGGAATGCTAGTCTGAGATATATCTTCCTGGGGAGAAGACTGTCTGATTGATATGGAATCACTTGTCTGTTACATTTTTGATTGGTTTACCAGGGCTTTTGCTAGTATTTTGTATGGCTGGTAGCCTGGTAGTAATGAAATAGGCCTATAGTTCCTGATGTCCCCTGCCGAGATCTTTCTGTATATCAGGGTGATTATTCCTGTGCTTGGTTCTTCCCCTAGGGTTCCTTCCTTCCTTTTTTTCCCCCCTTTTATAAAGGGCGACGGCCCTGAGGTATCATCATTTAACTGACCGGCCCTAGGTAATTCAGAATTATAGTATTTCACTCGTCTGCTTCCAGTGGAGTTTGAACCCGGGTCTGTATTTCAACAGTTCCAGTTCCGGGGTGTACGAACTGAGTTAGGCCAGTTGGTTCTCGGGTTCCTTCCTGGAAGGCTTCCTGATAGAATTGGAAATTCCCTTCCCACATTCCCCTAAAATTCTACGCAGAGTTACCGTGGATAGTCTGTCCTCCTGTTACATGCTGCGCCTGCAACAGGCTGCACGGGCCACTTTCAGGCCTGTGTCGTTTTTAGACCAAAAGCCTGAAAACAAGGGCCTACAGGCCCTGTGTCTTTTCAGCCTAAATCAGGGCCTTTCCGGCCCTGAATCTTTTCAGCCTGAAACTGAGGGCCATTTTCAGGCCCTCATCAGATCGACCCGCTCTGAAACTCAGGCACCAAACCAGGGTTTTAGCACAGGCCATTTTGGGCCTGTTTTCAGGACAACCCCTGGTTGAGGTTCAACGCCAGGGTCTGGCACGTTCGGCATTGGCAAGAGCAGCCTCCTGGACGGGCCAGCACTATATAGGACTGGCCCGCCCTGCAGGCAGGTAGGTAGTTCCTAGGTACTTCCCAGGCAGTTCACATCGGGAGGCAGGAGGTAGTCTTCAGGAATCGGCAGCAGCACTCTGGAGGAGCGCTGCAGGAGTAGTAGTAGCGCTAGCAGTAGTCGTCAGCGCTCGGTGCTAGTAGCGTTAGCAGAAGTCTTCAGCGCTGGGCGCTATTAGGAGCTAGAGTAGTACGAGAGAGAGAGAGAGAGAGAGAGAGAGAGAGAGAGAGAGAGAGAGAGAGAGAGATTGGGGGGAGGCCAGGGAGACTTACTTGCAGTGCCATAGCTCCAGCTTCGTCTTCGAGGTACCTGCATCACAGCGCCAGCTTCACAGGTTAGTACCTGGCACGTGAGAGAGAGAGAGAGTTCTTCTTCTTCCTCTTCTCAGTCCACCATCTCCCTCTCACCCTCTCGCTGTCTGACTTCACTGCATCAGCAGACTACGATAGAGAGAGAGAGAGAGAGAGAGAGAGAGAGAGAGCTTGGTGACATTTGGATCCAGACTCGATGTTGGGCTTCATACATTTTGACGAGGGATTATTTGGGACTTGTAACGAAGACTTGGTGTTGACGACTTTCCCATCTCCCCCCTCCTATTCTTCGTCTGTTCGCGTCCTCTTCGTCTGTGCATGATCAGTACCTGCCGCATTCTTCCTGTGTGTAGCGCCAGGCCTCCTTCACACCTTGTGATGAAGATGATGTATGTTTAGTCTGCATTGCAACATTGATTGGGCTCGTCATTGGTGTTCTAGCATTCTGCTGCGCTATCTTGTACTACATGAGAGAGGTCAGTCCCGGTCAGGTCAGGACTTGTATCTAAGTCTTCCCCTGCGCTATAACGCACCATCTTTGTATGTATCAGAATGTACATTGCTTGTTGAGATTCTACTTGCACTGCATTGTCCTTTCAGTCCTTTTCATCACATTGTGGATCCTCGCTTATATGTGTACATCGCCCAACTGGGCATGTAACACCTTCCCTGGGACTTTGTCTGGTTTCAGGTCTTTAATACTCTTTATCTGGATATCCTATGGAAGTTCAGTTTGTGGCAAAAGCGTTTCTGAGAATGTCATGCAGGACAGTTGCAAGCATTGTTTGTTTGACACTTTTCAAGAATGGAATCTTCCTGCACTCCCTTCCTGGCTTCATCTGTCTGTCTATTGCTGTGTTTTTGTTTCTGTGTAGAAAATTAGAAGAATTGCATGTGAACCTGAGATTGTAATGGTTGCTGCCCCAGCCTTGTGACTGAATGGTATACAGATGTAGCTCTTGATAAACAGATCATGAGCTAGGCTGTTTTTCCGGGCGCCCGGCACCCAACTTCTGCCCGGGTACACGCCCGGGTGCCCGCTCGGGCATGACCCCCGGGTAGGGTTCCGGGCAACCCCAGCGCAAAAAAAAAAAAAAAAAGTAAAAAAAAAAAAAAAAATCCGGAAAAAAATATTTTGTGTAGAATTGAAATACAAACGACTTTTGGCTGAGGGTCACATTATAATTCCTTACAAAATCGGAGATAAAAAAATAAATAAAAGAATCACATGCAAGGAAGGCGAGCAATAGTGAACTTCAGCAATCAAACAGCATCAAACACATGAGACCAGATAGTCGTGACCTCGAACCAAAAGCAGAATTGCATCACGAGTTTCTCCAAATAAGAGCACACCAAAAGCTCATCATTGAAAATGCTGGAATAGTCTCACCATCATCAATCGAAGAACCATTTGATAGCCTATCTGGCGCTCGGCGTGCAGACTACGAATGGCAGATCCTATCTAGCCTAGACTGCAATGCCGCTGATGATGTCAACAGCTTCCCAAGTACGAGCAGACCTCAGCCAATGCCACACGCGTCAAGCACCAGGTATGTCTCTCGTATCACTCACAACCTTGTTCCCCAAATCACAGATGCCACTTGCACCTAAGGACCACCATGCGCCCCATCCTGCATACAGCAGCGCAGCTCCGCTATGGCTGCCTGCTCCTTCCAGCTCGCCCGTGAGCGCGTGAGCCTGGCAGGCGATAGCGCAGCAGCGCTTGTGCACAAAGCAGCCAGTGCCCGAATGTCCAATGCGTGGGCTGGCCCTTTCCTAAATGGAAGTGGCCAGCCTGTTTGCGTGCAGCCTGGCTGCGCTGGGCCCCTGCCCAGAAGCATCCGGTAGGCCCAGGGAGGCTGAGCCTCAGACCAAACGAATCAGACCCAGGGCCACTGACAGTTACCCGTGCCCAACTGCCCGCTGTCTGAGTTGGGCCTATGCTGCGTATCTCGCCCAGGGCCTGACTTAGATACATTCGGTAAAGGAGGCCAGGGCCTGGGCGCCTTCAACGAACTGGCACTGCGCAACTGCCTGAATTTCCCTCAGTTGCGTGTCGTCTGTCGAGCCTGCCTTCACTTAGGCGGCCAACCTGTTGTAAATAGGGGCCCGGTAGGGCTTATCGAGGCCTATGCCTCGCACACACAAAGGCACCCCCCTTTAGACCCCTTTACCCCTGCAATCAGACTTGACTCTGGACTTGCTTGCAACATGCACACTTGAGGACCGATGGCAAAATCGAACTCTTCCAACTCAGAAACAACAATAAACTTGTATTACACTCAGTCCGAATCAACTGTACGACTTGCGGCTATGGCCGCCGAACACTGTCTCTACCACCAGCCTCACTTCCCCAGTCTCTCGCATGCACACACGTACGAGGATCACCCTGAATGTCCACGCTGCACAGCCATTCACACTCTGTCTACACCAACAGCTGGGCGGCTGTGGCCGCCGTCGTCTTCCTCCATCTAGCTATGGCCGCCGGTGTCTCCCTCACTGGTTCGCTATGGCCGCTGTCTTCTTCACAGCCTACTTCCTCCCCGGGCACCTGCAGACCTCCACGCACAAGATACCAAGGCAGCTCTTCTGCATGGCTCACAGGCGAATGCCTGAATGTCAGGACGCTGCCTCTTTATTTATACTTCTTCAGAGGTACCCGGGCCCTGCCTCAAAACGTGTTGGCCTGGGCCAAAACGTGTGACCCAGGGAAGCTTCCAGACGTTTGGCCTTCTGGCCAAAACGTGTAGAACCCACAGCGTGGTCCAGAACCTTCCCCACGTGCAGCCCCTACCCCTGGTACCTTCTGACTGGACTGGCCTACAGGGACCTACGACCTTCTAGAGCCTACAGACTTGCAAACAGACTCTAGGCCTCAGTAGACTCAGATAGAGACTTCTAGAACATACCTTCCTAAGCCTAACGGTAACGGACCTAACTCCTAATCTACAGACCTAGGGATCGAGTCTTACACAGATCGCTGGGCCTAGGTACAGGGTAAAGGGTAGGTCTAGGGATCGAATCTCACTCAGCACACAGGGTCAATGTACAAGGTACAGGGTAGGTCTAGGGATCGAATCTCACTCAGCACACAGGGTCAATGTACAAGGTACAGGGTAGGTCTAGGGATCAAATCTCACTCAGCACACAGGGTCAATGTACAGGGTTTGGGCACAGGTCTAGGGATCGAATCTCTGTGTCTGCAAATGTTGGGTCTGCTGGGTGAAACCATTTCAACCCCCTTTAAAACCAGTTTATACCTCCCTCCCCCCCCCTTGACAGCCAACTCGCAAAAAACGAAATGAGCCCGGATTTGGGGTCCTCTGGGAGAGCGCAGA